TAAAGGATTCTATGATTCTAAGTGTTGCAAAAACACTATAGCACGGAAATCTACCAAACACACAGAAGGGCTTTGCCTGCTACACAGAGCACTTTTAGTGTTGCTGGATGACTCTTGAAGCGAGCCCACTGCTGTTCAGAGCTCCTAGCACAAGAGTCTGATCTAAATACAGAAGCTCATGTTCTCCTTTCAGCTCCACAGCCTTGCTGTGCACTTTGCTGGACTTGGCACAGGCAGTTATCAAGGCCTAGTTCGTTCTTCCCAGCTACATCCTCCATCTGATCCAAGTGTGCCAGCATGACTGAAATCTGAGCCTGCACATTTTAGGACCCCTTTGCCTTCGATATGTGATGAGGTAGCTTTTTGCATAAAGAGTCTGGCAAATTTTCCTTGCTCAAAAAGAACTCCAAAGAAACAGTAAAAGATTAAAAGTGGCTGAATAATTTCCAGAGCACTACTAGAGCGGAACTTAGATTTTTGGATGAACAGCAGTATTGCTTTGTCTCCCTTGGCCAAGTACAGAAAAAGAGGAAAGTAGAGCTAAATAATAACACTACCAAAAGCGGGAGCCAAATCACGAGCAACTTTAAAGACTGATACAGTGAAAAAGGTTACATCTACATTTTTAGGACCAGCACATACGTCGGTAAACATGAATCTGATGTGTGTTTGGACAGCCTTGTTTAAATACTTTGACTACCCAAAGCTGCCATTATTACAGACAATTCCATGAAGTTGGCCATGGAGAAAAAAAAAGGTGCCAACCAATACCACAGACGACTGCAATTAAGAATGCATTCACACCCAGCAATAACGCTGCTGAGGCAGCTTATAAAGGTCTGTAATACTTTGCAACAGGCGAAGCTTACATGCAAACCAAAAACTGGGAGGAAAAGAGTTGTACCCTTCCCAAAGCTGCCATACTGCACTTGTTTATTTACATTTTCTTATAATGCAGTTTTCTAAATGTATGTCGTCCAACACTGCAGATGCAAGCAGGTTAAAAAGTAGCACTTCTGAACCACAATGAAACCTACCTTCACCATCTTCAGAACACGTTACGGCTGTTAAGTCTTGCCTAGCAATAGACATGGGCAACACTTTTCTGGCAGACACATTCTCAGCACTGGTGGCAGCAGAAACCGTGGCACTTGCAGTTGAAACATTAGACACGCTGCTGCTCGTGGCTCCACCCAAGTTCATCTCGTCTGTGTCAGAGTCATCTGAATGAAGAGGGTTAGTAAAACAGAGGGGTGCCTGAAGAGAAATAGTTGTGTGATCACCGTTATCCCTGGAAGGATGTTCAGCTGTGGTGTTCGATACCAGAGAGAGAGTTTTGACACCATGACACAAGATGTCTGGAGACAGCTCTTCTGACCCCGAGGCAGGCAGCGTGCTGCCAGGCCCCTGCAGCGACCACGTGGCCTGTCCCTTTTCTGACAGCAGCAGGCGATCTGGTCTTGGGAGAGCATCAGAAATCTGACGGCTCTGCAGACTTTCTGGTGAAGGTATTAAGGCTGTGTTAGACTGTGGCACGCTGCATTCCATACATGAGTTTTGAGAAACTTCTACAAATGCATCCCCTGAGAACTGTTCCTGTGGCTTAAAGCTCTCATCAATTACACAGGATGACACAGGCTTAATTTTAATTGCGTGTGCCCTGTTCAACAGGGAGCTCCCATCGAAGCTTCGTGGTCCCTCCTGAAGAGGTACCTTCTTGATCTCAAAACTTAAGTTGCGCTCCAGCCTCTTCTCTGCACGTTCACTGGGTTCATTCTTCCCTGAAAGTTCTGCTGATTTATTATAATTCTCGTTGAGGTCTGTTGAATGCTCTGATGAAACCATATGCAAAACTGGCTTTGGATGGTATCTATCATTGTCCTGCAACACAGAAGTGACCGTTGGATAAGCTGATGGGGGAGACGGCGTTAGGATTGGTGGTACTGGCTGAGGCTCTGGAGGCTGCAAGATTTCTTCTTTAGCATCTCCTTCTACAAGGCAACTGCAAAAAAAAAAACCCCAAAATACAGTAGTTTAAGTTGGCTGTATTTTGACAATATTTTTAGGTACCTATCCATCTGCTTCTGCAGTAGTAATGCTTCCACACCAATACCAGACTCCAAGCAGTGCCTCCACGACATACAGACAATGGCTATAAAATATGACTAATGCGATAGGCAAGAACTAAGCCAACACACTCCAAACATCTTTCAGAATATCACAAAGACATGCATTCAGGCCACAATTAGTTCTCATTGACAGTTCAAAGATTGCTCTCATCCTTTCCCAGAGGTATTTTTTTCAAAGCCTGGGAGAAATGCCCTCTTGTGGCAGGACTTCAGTAGTTTTTTGCTTTCCTCTTAAGAAGTGACTCAGGAACTTGACACACGGAATTTTCAATAAAGGCAGGAAAAATGTCTTTTTAAAAAACCTTACAGCCTGCTTAATACCAAGGATCTTCCCTTATTTTTATTTTCTGCACATGTCGAGGAGGATATTTTTGTGTACTTAAATAATAAATAAATTTGTGTATTTAATAGTTTCTCCACAGTTCTAAAGCTAATGATACAGACCAAATATAGCTGACATGACATGCACACTGTATGAAAACCACTCAGTAGAATGTATGATCCAAATCGCAGTGCCTATTCTTACAGCACTTATTATTACAGTTCATCTCAAGCTACTCAAGTAGAAGAGACGTTATCTCAAGCTCTTCAAGCATATGGTCTGTTTACTTTCAGATTAGATGCAGAATATTTCACTACAAATGTTTTGCACAACTGAGGTCTAACAGGAATTAGGCATTTTAATTCAGAGCCTTCCAGTATCTTAGGGGGGCCTACAAGAAAGCTGGGGAGGGACTTTTTAGGATATAGAGTAACAACAGGACTAGGGGGAATGGGGCAAAGCTGGAAGTGGGCAGATTCAGGCTGGATGTGAGGAAGAAGTTCTTCACCATGAGAGTGGTGAGGCCCTGGAATGGGTTGCCCAGGGAGGTGGTTGAGGCCCCATCCCTGGGGGTCTTTAAGGCCAGGCTGGAGGAGGCTCTGGGCAGCCTGATCTAGTGGGAGGTGTCCCTGCTCATGGCAGAGGGGCTGGAACTGGGGGATCCTTGTGGTCTCTTCCAACCCTGACAGATTCTGATCTGTTTTAGCAGAGGACTTTAGAGCCCTGGTGGCTCGGTGGTTGGACTTGATGATCTTGGAGGTCCCTTCCAACCTAAATGATTCTATGATTCTATGAAAAAGATGTCATTGCATTATGTAGGACTAGTGACAGAGTAGTAACTGAAGTACAAACCAAACATGTGACAAGAAGAGAGAGATACAATGAAGTAATTTAGAGAAATGATACCTTACATGCAGGCAGGTAAATCAAAGCACAAGGGACTGTGGTTTGCAAAGGAGTGTGATTTGGCCACATGCTTGAGCCGAGAAGCCAGCCCACTTCATGTACAAAGCTCAGATCACTTCCTGCTGTTGGCAGAGATGTCCTTCATGGGGAAGTAATAAAGCCTCTGTACAGGCCAGCACATAAAGTTCAAGACAGAAGACAGATGCTCCCATCCACCCATGTGAGGGGAACAGGCAGCTCCCAGGTTGCAGTGTCTTCACTGCCACGTTCAAGTATCCCAGCACCAGAATAACCTTGAACAAGTAGCAGTCAGCCTAATTCTTTTATACTTTCAGGTTTTTTTTTTTTTTTTTTTTTTTTTTATAATCTATGTCAGAGGCACCATAAATCACCCAAATCCAGCTGTACAGCAGGAGACTTGGAACCTTCCTTTGGAGATTAAGGCAGGACATTCTCTTCCCTTGAAAAGGAAGTCACCAGTAGCAATGGACCTTCCTTTCACGATCCAACATCCTGAAGAATTGATCTACTCAGAGTGTTCACAGTACTCCTGTGAAACAGACTTTGATTTGCAAATGAATTCAAGCCTACACAGCACAGGCTAGAAAGCAGTGGCTTCTAAAAAAGGTAAAAACTCTTACTACCTGCTAGATGACAGATCACTGGGACAGTATTCTCCTGCTGTATTTGTGTAAAACTTTGGAGAACACAGCTTATCTGGCAGGACTGGAAGAAGGTTTGACAGTAATAATTCTCATGTTCTAAAGACCAGCAGGATGATATGCAGATTATATTCTCCAGGTTCTGTGCTTTTGGGCAACTTAAAAGTTCCATGATAGCAGTAGTAGTTAATCATACATTACTAACCCAGATAAAGAATGAGAATGTATTTGCATTTTAGACACTTGATAGGTTTTGTGGAAAAAAAAGAAACCTCCTGCAAGCCATCAGCTACATAATGAAACCACACCTTCAGAGCTTGTAGGTGAAGTCCAGCGTCCAAATACAGGTTGTCATTCAGCTTGGAACAGTTAGATAGCATCTGGCTCTACCACATATCTTTCACAGAGGAAGCCCAGTCTGAAACCAGGAATCTAACACAGGCTTCTCCAGTTTCAGCCACTGCAGGGGAGCTCCAACAAATCTCAGTTGGATAACAGTCAGGCACACATGCAAGATGATCAGGAATAAGACGGATATCTTTCAAAAACCCTTTTTGATCAGACAACTACCTAAACAGAGAAAAGTCTGTCCCTGCGTCCAGAACAGTACCAAGACTGCTGAGCGCCATGGACAGACAAGACCAAAGAAAAGGCTTGCTATTAATATCACAACTCGTTTGACTATAAGGTGACTAAATCTGGGGACAAGGGAGGAGCTATAGATGTCACCTATCTGGACTTCTGTAAAGCCTTTCACAAGGTCCTCCACAACATCTTTGTCTCTAAATTGGAGAGAGATGGATTTGATGGGCCGTTCAGTGGGTAAGGAATTGTTTGGATGTTTGCATCAAGAGGGTAATGGTAAATAGTTCGATGTCCAGCTGGAAGCCAGTGGCAACTGGTATCCCTCAGAGGTCCATTCTGTGACCAGTGCTGTTTAACATCTTCAGCAATGACACAGACAGTAGGATCGAGTGCACCCTCAGCAAGCTTGTAGACGACACCAAGCTGAGTGGGGTGGTTGACACACCTGAGGGACAGGATGCTATCCAGGGGGACCTGGACAAGCTTGAGAAATAGACCTCTGTGAACCTCATGAGATTCAACAAGGCCAAGTGCAAGGTCCAGAACCTGGGTCAGGTCAATCCCAAGTACAAACACAGGCTGAGTGGAGTATGGATGGAGAGCAGTCCTGAGGATAAAGATTTGTGAATGCTGGTTGATAAAAAGCCCAACATAAGCCAACAATGTGTGAGCGTAGCCCAGAAAGCCAATGGTATCCTGGGCTGCATCAAAATAAGTTTGGCCAGCAGGTCAAAGGAGGTGATTCTAACCCTCCACTCTGGTGAGACTCCACCTGGAGTACTGCATCCAGCTCTGGAGTCCTCAGCACAGGAAAGACATAGACCTGTTGAAGCAGGTCCAGAGGAGGGCCACAAAAATGATCAGCGGGCTGCAACACCTCTCCTCTGAAGAAAGAGTGAAAGAGTTGGTGTTGTTCAACCTGCAGAGGGGTCTGAAGAGATGTTATTGCAGCCTTTCAGCACTTATAAAGGGGCTTATAAGAAAGACAGGAACAGGCTTTTTAGTAGGGCCTGTTGCAACAGGACAAGGTATAATGTTTTTAAACTACAAGAGAGGAAGAGTTAGAGTAGATACAAGGAAGAAATTATTTATCATGATGGCAATGAAACAGTGTAACAGGTTACCCAGGAAGGTGGTAGATGCCCCATCCCTGGAGACATTTAAGGTCAGGTTGGATGGTGCTCTGAGCTACCTGATCTGGTTGAAGATGTCCCTGCTCACTGCAGGGCGGCTGAACTAGATGACCTTTAAAGGTCCTTTCCAATCCAAATTATTTTGTGATTCTATGATAAAACAATCACTTTAAAAATAGATATTCTGAAATAATAATTATTTTGATAAATAATTACTTAGCTTTGAAGACTAAGAAAGCACTAGTCTCCTGCATTTGTTAAGGCATTGGGCTTTTCAAGACAAGTCTCCATTTTCATTTTGTGGCTACTTTTAAATCTGAAAAAGACTTTTTACTTAACAGAACATGGGCTAGTAACATAGCTCTAGGACCAAAGAATTTTTACCTTCTCGGTCAACAATAAGAAGAAAGTATTAAAAACAAGTAGAAAGGTTTAAGAAAAATGCAGAGTACCAGGCTGCATTTCATATCCCTTTACTTTTGTAGTACCCAGCAATCCATGGTGGGGTTTCTTCTCATACTGCTTACATGTGCCAGCTTATCTTTGTCAGGCAGCAAAACAAAAAGCAAGAATGATTAAAAAAAATCTTGACAGTATTTTCAAAAAGGTTACTGGAGAGCAGAGCAGACGAATAAAAACTCCCAGCAGCTACAAACCTGCACTGCTCTCACTGTCCCAAGGGCATTATTGAAGTGAAGGGCAAACAAGCATTAACAAGCAGTGAGTACCCAACATACTGTTCCTGCTGCCATGGAACAAAGGCAAGGACAGTGGGGTCCCTTCTACAAGTTATAGGGAACAGGGCTGAGACCAAACAATTGCACAAGAATTCCTGCCCATCTGTTCGTGGGTGAAAGGCATCAGACAGGCTCTCATTACTTGTCTGTATGTCATATCACAAACTAAATCAAAGTAATACTGTTAGTTCCCCTACTTGCAAACCAGGCCTGAAAAGGACTCAAACGGTACAAATTCTTGAGACTCTCATGACTTATGTAAAAAAAACAGAGATAAGAGAAGCAAGGGAGAACTGCCTCACACTTGAGTCATCTACAGAACTGAAAGCATACCTGTCTTGAGACAGGCTACATCACAAGTTTCATCCTTGTGATTTTATTAGCACCACGCTATTGCAGGATGGGATGAAGAACCAAAATCCATGTACAAGTAATTCCAAACTGAACAGAATTGTTTATGAAAATCCTCACACTGAAGTACTGCAAGCTCCTCAGCTTCCAAATCATCTTTTACAAGTTACTGTATCTTTCCATGTAGAAAAGTCCAGATGCCCTTGTGATTCTCTCAGGCACCCTCTTCCATTCTTTGCCTGTCCAATCCCTGTCAAAAAACACCGAGTCCCAAACTCCTTCTCTTCCTCCAGGTGCTTGTATCTTGCTTTACACT